GAGCAGTAACATTTTCAAAGAAATCTTTTTTTCTTAACAGGAGTTCTCAACAGTGGGCTTAAAATACTGAGTGAACCATTCTGTAAACAGATGTGCTGTTATCCAGTCTTTGTTATTCCATTTATAGGGCACAGGCAGACAGTATTCTTAAGGGCCCTGGGATTTTCAGAATGGTAAATGAGCATTGGCTTCAACTTAAAGTCGTCAGCTGCATTAGCCCCTAACAGGAGAGTCAGCCTGTCTTTGAAGCTAAGCATTGACTTTTCTCTAGCTATGAAAGACCCAGATGGCGTCTTCTCCCAATATGAGGCTGTTTTGTCTACGTGGAAAATCTGTCGTTTTGTGTAGCCACCTTCATCAATGATCTTCGTCAATGATAACTTGCTCTTCTCCACCAGCACTTGGTGCTTCACCTTGTACTTTAATGTCATGGAGATGGTTTCTTTCCTTCAACCTCATGAACCAACCCCTGCCAACTTCAGTCTTTTCTTATGCAGCTTCCTCACCTCTCTCAGCCCTCAAAGAACTGAAAAGGGTTGGGGCTTTGCTCTGGATTAAGCTTTGGCTTAAGGGAATGTTGTGGCTGGTTTGATCTTTTACCCAGACCACTCAAACTTTCTCCACATAAGCAATAAGTCTGTTTTATTTTCTTATCATTCGTATGTTCACTGGAAGAGCACTTTTAATTTCCTTCAAGAATGTTTCCATTGCATTCACAACTTGGCTGTCTGGCACAAGATGCCTCAGCTTTTGACATGCCTTCCTTACTAAGCTTAATCATTTGTACCTTTTGATTTAAAGTGAGAGACGTGAGACTCTCCTTTCACTTGAACACTTAGAGACCATTGTAGGGTTATTAATTGGCCTAATGTCAATATTATTGTGTCTTAGCAGATAGGGAGGCCTGAGGAGAGGGAGAGAGATGGAACAACCAGTTGGTGGAGCAGTCAGAACACACATAACAATTATCGATTAAGTTTGACATTTTATATGAGTGCAGTTTGTGGTGCCTCCAGACTATTATAATAATAACAAAGATCACTGATCCCAGATCACCATAACAGATATAACAATAATAATCAATTCTAAAATACTGTGAGAATAACCAAAATGTGACACAGAGACAAATGGCACCAATAAACTTGCTCGAGGCAGAGTTGCCACAAACCTTCAATTTGTAAAAAAACACAGAATTGCAAAGCACGATAAAGTGAAGTGCAATAAAATGAGGTATGACTGTAAATTACAGACACCATGGCATTTCACCCCTAAAACTTTCAGCATTTATCTCTTAAGAATAAGCACATTCTCCTACATAATCCTAGTATTATCATATCTAAGAAAATTAATAATTCCAAAATATCGCCTAACAGTCAGTTTCCTAGAGTTTGCATGTATCCCTTAAAGTCCATGTGTTGGAAACTTAATACCCAAAGCAACAACATTGGGAGGTGGGGCTTAATAAGAGGTTATTAGGTCATAAGGGCTGTGCCCTCATGAAAGGATTAATGTCATTATCTCAGGAGTGGATTAGTTATCACTAGAGTGGGTTTGTTATAAAAGCAAGTTCGGCTCCCTCTTGTTCTCTTGTCCTCTCTTGCCCTTCCACCATGGGATGATGCATTAACAAGGCCCTGGCCAGATGCCAGCACCTTGATATTGGACTTCCCAGCCTCCAGAAGTGTGAAAAATAAATTTCTTTCTTTCTTTTATAAATTACCCAGTCTGTCGTATTCTATTATAGCAACACAAAATGGACTAGGATACATTTCATATTCAAATTTCCCCAATTGTTCCCAAAATGTCTTTACAGCTTACTTTAAAAAAAATTAATCTAAGATTTAATTCAGGTACATAAATTATAGTTATTGTTCTGTCTCTTTAGTCTTTTTCTATAAAAGTCATCCCACTTTTTTTCATGGTATTTCTTTTTTTAAGGAATCAGGCAATAACACCCTACATTATGAGTCTGTCAGATTATTACGGCTGTCTGTGTGTGATGTTTTAAGCTTGTTTTCTCGCTCTCAGTATTCCCTGTAAGATGGAAGTTAGATGTAAAGTTTTGATTCCATTAAGTTTACACATTTTTGGCAAGAATCCTTCAAGGATGATGCTGTGGGCTATATATACTGTCTCGCAACAAGAGGCACATGTCAGGGTGCCTCACTACTCATGATGCTGAGTTGATCACTTGGTCAAAGAGGCTTCACGATACTTTGACCTTGCCACCAAGTCTGTATTTACACTGCACTATGCTCCAGGTGTAAACAGCTTAAGAGTTGTGCAAAAGCCTGCCAGGAATGCCAAGCTATGTTGCTTATCTGATCTCTTCTGACACCTCTTCCTTGTCCATTTCTGCAATGTTCTCTTTCCTCTGTTTAATTATTCTCCACTTTTGCTCTGTGATCTTGGTTTTCTGACCACTCGTCCATTTTCCTCCACCATCGAAACAGTTCTGAAATTCTACTCTATAAAGGTCTCCTGAATTTAAATACATTGATCACAGTTCACCTTGGGTTTTCAATCTGAAGTTTACTGCCTAATTATGAGAAGCTACCACAGAAGCAAGGACTGTTTCAGCCAAATTTATTTTATGACCTCTCATGGCAGCATATTAACATAGGTGCTTATTGATAACTATTGCATTATAAGTCCCAGTGGTTGAAATCTACAACTAACAAGTGTGCTCCCACTGAGTAAAACAATAATGAGCATTTACGCTCAGGTTTTTCAGCCATTCATTTATCATCTACCTATATCTCCTGCCCATAGCTATGTTTGCAAACCAACCACAGCAAGAAAGCACAAATGCTTTCCAACATCTTTGTAGGATACATCTATATATCATTGACTATTTACCGGTAGTGTATTTTTTTAATGCCTGGTTCACCCTAATTGCACAAATTAATTGGGCTATCATTGGCACCCAGCAACATTTCCCACAAACAGAAAGACAAATAAATATACGCTGAAAATATTTTCTAAAAGTGGGTCTTATTTTGAAGCTCTGTATTTGAGACTACACATGCAAAATGAATTAAGAATTGAGATCACTGTCTGGATCGTTCAGACCAAAAGTCAGATGTATCCAGATAAGGCAAAAGCATTCCACTGAGTTTGAATTATCTGGGTGACTCCATCAATTACCAAATTCATTTCAAGTGCATAGTTCAGTTTAGGCTTGTAACTAAATAATTTGTCTTCATCTTTTCTAGTTAGCAATCACCTTGCCTAATATTATACAAGAATAACAAGTTTGTTATGCCTCATTTTCTTGCTTTCTCTCATTTGTGTTCCAACTTGGAAACTGGGGAGAAAGGTACTGGGCTTGCAGTTTTAAAGAATCTGCTTTTTTCCTTTCTCCCTGACCAACCTAAGCTGGAATGACTAAACAATGCAAATGGCACCAAATTCATCTTCCCTCTCCAAGGCTAGTCCAGGGTAAAAATGTGAAGTGTATAAAGTTTATCTTCAAGCCCCACTACCCACATCAAAACCTGCCCTTAGCACAAAAATCCAGTCTTTATCTCTAAGCTAAATTTAAATTGATGATGTTCCTTCTCCCCAAATCATTTGCTTATACTGGATTTCAATTGAGGAATGAAAAGCTGTTAGGTCCCCTGTAGTTAGCATTTCAGGAATCTACAGGCAGATAAGGGCTGTGTTTGGGGGATCAAGGCTGTCCCTGTCATACTGAGATTACATGACATAAGCAACCATCTACTGTGATTACTTTTATGTTTCACCCTACCACTATCAGTACCTCTAAGCTAATATTTGCACAGTTCTATAATATTTGAAAAGCAGGGCTCACATTAATTATCTTGCTTAATTTTAACAAAATCCCGTAAGCTGCATTATCTTGTCTCCACTTTGCAGGTAAGGAAGCTGGTTCCCTGCTACCAAGTGCTGGGCCCACCAGCACTCATGGCTCTTGCCTAAGTCTTTGAACTCCACATGGATGCTCTTTCCATTCTAGTCTACAAACCAATTTTCCCTCCTCCTAGAAGAAAGGTGATAATCCTACCATTGATTGAGTCAGTACCTAAAGTGTTTTCCAGGTTTCTCAAACAGTAACAACTGATTTTACTACCCCCAAGTATTTTACACACACGCACAATATTTTCTGAATATTGAAGAAACAGAGGAATAGTAATAAACGCACCTCATCTAATTCTTCTCATGAGGTTTTTAAACCATAACAAGACCAGAGAACAAAGCCTCCATCATTATCACATAATTTCAAAGCGGGTAGCGTCAAGTGGTTAGGGTAGAGGAATCAATACATAGACCATCTTCACTATGCACAGTGAGTTTTAAAGAAAACTCAGCCTTTCTCTCACTTTATGATATAAATATAGGTCTAAAGTTGCAAGTAAATCCAATGTTATTTAAAATGCACTTCAAACAATTCATGCATTGCCTTTCTAGTTACGAATTTTTATAAGAAAATAAAAGATGACATGAATTATCAATGCACAATGGATTCAAAGTTCAATTGTACCTACTAACCCATAAACTACTGCAAAAGGCATAAATATTTTCAAACGTCTTTGCAGAATATATCTCCTGTATCATATCTCATGCCTGACAAATGCTTTACACACAGATAGTTCTAACTGAAAAAAAATATAAGCAAACAATCATGGACATCCAGCAACATTTCTAGAAATTCACTAGTGAAAAGTATTCCATACATCAGGGATTGGCAAGCTTTTTCTGTAAAGGGCCATACAGCAAATATTTTAAGTTCTGCAGACCACATGATCTCATTGGAACTACTCAATCCTGCAGTCGCGGCATGAAAACAGGCACAGACAATATACAAATGAACGAATGTGGTTGTGTGCCAATAAAACTTTACTCACAAAAACAGGCCCATGGGTCATAGTTTGCCACAGACAGCCATTTTTTTTACCAAGTCTGGCTTTCTTGTTAAAATGATACCATATCTATTAAATGGAACGCATTCCTAAAGTGGGCTGGGCAATGATGCTCACCTGTGACCCAATGGTTTCCTGGAAGCACCGGCCAAGCTGCGTCTTGGCAGCCACAGGATAGACATGAGGAATGACCTGCTGCTGGGAGTACGTGGAATGCACAGTCTGGGTCTTCTGGACAGGAAGCCCTTGGTAAGAGATTTGGGATTGGCCTGGTTGAGCTTCTTTTACCTTCTGGCCTGTTGGGCCATCAATTCTTGAAACCTGATGTATCTGGACTGATGCCTCAGGAGGATGTTTCACATGGATATTGACTATGTTGGGAGGAAATTTCACTAAAACAGATCGGGAAGAAAACTTGTTAGTCATGAATAATTAACAGGCAAGTCAGGATTTTTAAAATATAAAAGTATATTTTATAAACACACATATACACGTGTTTATATGCACATATATTAGATGTAGGGTAAAACAGATGTATAATTAACATATCTTTTTGCTGCACAGCCATCAAAATTCTTCAGAATAAAATGGTGCACTCAAAATAAAAATTAAACCTGAATTTATATCTTAAAAATAAAACTGCAATGATAAAGAGAAATTAAAGCTTTTAACAGTAACACATTCATGAGACAAAAATATTCTTTTGAGTAGAATCATAAAACTATGAAATTCATGCTGATTGTTGTCATAAGTGGGTACATTTCATCAAATGATAATACAAAAGACTCACAAATTTGATTACTTTTTAATTTTTTACAAAATTTCTATTGGGAATATTTTATGATTTATATTTGTCAATTAAAAGAAGAAATCCAACTGCACCAAGCACAATTCTCTTATCCTTGAACAACATATGAATATACTTTTGTGCTTTTTGTGAAGCACACACACGCAAATACCAAAGCATGTTATTTTATATCCGTAACATTTACTCTCTGCAGCTTTTAAACAAAATCTCATCTTCTGATACAAAAATTCAGGTTTTAAAGAATAAGAGCCGGTAACACTTCTCTGACCCCCTTTTAAAAATTGGGCATTTAAAAAAAACAGGTTTAAAAGAATGAATTAGTCATAGAATTTTTGAGTTCCAAGTGACCTAGTTTACCTTCCTCTACAGATGAACAAATTGAAGCCCAGTGAGATTAAATGACTATTCAGAACCAAAACCAAGCATTCTTCAATTACAAAATTCACCAAAAGGTACTGTGTGATCCCCTAGTTTGTTAACGCTGGAAGGGCCTGAACCCTGTGTTGCTCATCTTCCCAGGCCTTGCCAGAACAATGCCGTGTGCATTTATTAGTTCTTGGTGGTAAGAGTCACTAGAGAAGGACGGGCTCCTTTCTATTTTCTGATTTCCTAGATACTAATTCTCTATGGCCTAGAAAGTACTGCAGCCACATACCTGGGCCCACATTCTGTCTTTATTGCCACTTCTCAGGCCACAAATCATGTACTCCTTTCTGCTTCAGTACCAGCCCCGGCCATCTGTGGATACTTGGCTTCTGTATGGGTTTGGCAGGTTAACACAGGCCTGGCGAATGGGCAAAATGAGAAAAGCTTACCTTTGACCCCCTGCTGGCTAGTCATGGTCAGAGGCAAGGTATGTGTAGAATGGACGACTTGTGTCCCCAGTGCCTTGCCTGGCTGCTGGGAATGCTGATAAAGTTTAGGCACGCTGGCACCATGGACTGGGATCTGACAAAGCTTTCCTGTGAAATTTGGAGGGCACTGACATTTGTCCCTTGAACTGCACTGGCCACCATTCATACATGGAAGATGGCAAATTACTGAAAGAGAAAGAGAAAATAGAGACAGTTGGTTAGTCTCTCAAAGACTAAGTAACAATCAATCAACAAAATCCCCCAAACACACAGCCTACTGCAGTCATCATATTCCCAGGACTTTAGAAATGGTAAGCAAAGGAGTAAACACTAGACCCAAAATAGTCTCTATTCCTCATTGCCTTTTTCTTTCTGTCTTTGGTCACTTAACTCTCCAGCTTGTCACTGTTCTCCCCAGTGATGAAAAGAAGAGTTCACGGGAAAAGAATATATATATATACATGCAATAGCCACAAAGAATTACTGTCTACCACAGTGTCATTTTAAGTACCTCTTGCAATCTGTAATTACTTTGTTTTTCTGTTTAACCACTAGCTTATTAACTGTCTTCCTAGATTATAAACTCCTTTGGAACAAGAGGTATGTCCAGCTAAGTAAACTTTATATCCCTGGCACCTAGAAAAATGTCTGGCATGGACATTAAATAAATATTTACTCAAAGAATAAACAAATGAGAGTCATAAAAAGATGACTACAGATAACAATGATACATTATATAGCTTCAAATAGCTAAAAGGAAGATACTGAATGTTCCCAACACAAAGAAATGATAAATGTTTGAGATGATGGATATGCTAATTACCCTGATCTGATCACTATACATCATACGTATCAAAACATCACTATGTGTCCCACAAATATGTACAATTATTCAGCAGTTGAAAAAAACTTAAAAATAATATCTGTTGAAAATTTTCTCTATGTAAGACACTGAACTCAGTGCTACCCAGAACAAGAAAACAGAATAGCTTGAATCACACTTTATAGGAATTTGCAATCTCACTGGGGTAACAAGACGTCAGTAAATCCTAAAATTAGTTAGCAATTAACTTATTTCAAATACCAAAAGATAAGAGGACGTGTTGGGTGAAGAGTTTTAAGAGGAGGTTTTTAACTCTGGCTAAATTCAGCTTACAGTCAACCTGTTTATCACTAATGAATTCTTCCTATCAGCCTTTAAATGTCATCAGATTTCCACTGGCTTAAAAAATATAATAAAAGCCCTTCAACTCCATCTCCTTCCAGTTTCTACTCTCTTTAAATCTGCTCATCCATGACCAAGCTTTCCAAAAGCACTGTCTGTTCACTTCTCAACACACTACCAATGTCTGTTGGGCCAGATTATGTTTTCCCTTTCCCAGTCCCTCTTCTGTACAGAAACTATTCTTACTAAGGTCATCAGTAGTCTCCAGGTTGCTAAATCCAGTGGACAGATTTCAGTCTTCCCCTCGGTTTCCATGACATCTCACTCATCTATTTTGCTCCTTCCTGCTTGCCTCTTCCAGCTTAATATGCTTTGCAGACTCTGCTTTCTCCATTTGTCCTTTAAATACTGATGTGCTTTAAGATCCAGTTTTGAAATTTTCTTCTTCACTAACTCTATGCACTCTTCCTCTATGACTTCATCCTATCATATGCTAATGTTGCCCAAATTTATATTTCCTGGCCAAAGCTTTCAGCTGAGCTTCAAACTATCTACTACTATATGTCACCATGGAGATAGTCCACAGGCACTTCAAACTCTGAATGGCCAAAACTGAACTCATCATCTACTCTCCAGTACCTCCATCCATCCAGCGGTCCTTCACCAAAACCTGGGTACTGCTTCCCTGTTTCCAAACATTCACACCTGGAGGTCCTTCCTTCGAAACATTCACCAAAGACGGCCATTTCTTTCCCATTACAGGGCACCACCGTGGCCTTGCCACACATAAGTCTCACCTCCTTCTCCACAGTACAGCTACACTGAACTTCATTCAGATCCTCAGCAAGCAGTGTCTTCTTAGCCCTCAATAGCTTTATCCATGCTGAATCCTCTGCCTGGAACGCTCTTTCCATCTGGCCCCCATCAACTACCTGACTCCTACTTATCTTTTGGACTCTGTCTGAACCTTGCTTCTTCTAGCAGCATTCCTGGTTGCCCCTCATCTAGGCTTGATGCTTTTCCTCTGTGCTTCCATCGAGTCTTGCTCACTACACATCACTCTGCGTATCGTACTGCATGACAGTTGTTTGCCTGCTTCTCTGTGTGCCTCATTCAGCCAGAGCTCTGTGAGGTCTGGGAATTTAACTTGTCATGGTTTACCCTAAGCATGTAGCTTAGAGTCTAGAAGGAATGAACAGATCTATGCCTACTACTTGGTCAAGTACCATTCTAGGTAGTAGAGAAGATTTAGTCTTTGCGCGTCAAAAACTTAAGAGCTAAATGGAGAAATTAAATAACACATGATAACTAAAAATACAGATCAACGAACAAGTGACAATTGGAAAATGTAAAATATAAATCCTTTGGAAATTCAGAGAGAAGAAAAGACATTTCTAGGAAGTCAAAATAGACTTCACAGGAGAGATCATTTGGGATAAGTCTCTAAAACTGCCTAAGTTTCAGAAATACAGAAGAGCATATTCTAGGAAAACAATGTGTATAAAGGAACAGAGGCAGGCGTAATTGGGAGAAAATGAGTAAATCTGTCTTGTTGAAATCTGTCTTATTGATCAGGTGATAATCTAGAAGGAGGAGGCTTGAGTCAGACCACGGAAGTTATCACAGGCTTGATAAGGGGTTTGGATTTTATTCTGTAATCAGTAAATTATTTTGGAGGCTTCAGCGGATTAAGCCAGGCTGAGTGCTCCAAGGAGATTACTCTGGTGATGGCACACGGGATTAGACAGAAAGAAGGGAGACTACATGGGAAAGCCAGTTAGGGAACTATTATAATAATTGAAATACAGGTTGAAAAACACCTAATTAGGATGATGAAAACAAGAATTGAAAGAAACATGTAGTAATATAAGGCAGGAGGGTAAATCAGTAGAACTTGGAGATGGGACATAGGAGGAAAAGTGCAGGCCAAGGAAGAGGGGAGAAAGTGGAGGAGGAGGGAGAGAGTTGGAAAAATCACCAAGGTGACAACCCAGAAACTGTGTTTAGGGCCAAGGTTGCAGATAAGTCAAAACTACCCAGCCTGGGTCTGGAAAAATACTTTCACTAGTGCGTTATCTACACAGTGAGGTCTTGGGTAAGAGAGGACGAAGTCAAAACTGACTCCAAGGTTGAGTTCCAAATGACTTTGAAACTCCCAGTTCAGTTCTAAATTGAATTTCTAAATCATAGCTTGGCTACACTGGATGGGCTCAAGGTATAATGGAATGACAAGAGAAGCCAGGCCAAGAATGTACTACAAATAATTCGTAGCTGGAATAAAGGTATTCCAGTATGCATGAATTTCAGTTACCACAATTTAGTTAAATAATAATAGTCCCCCAACAACAACAGTCCCCCAACAAGTAAAGTTCAAACTTTAGTCACCACAGTACACTAACTGGGTGATTAGGTCAAGTACAAACATTGCTGCTAGTTCTTTGGTCCACAAATCACAGGGTAAATAACAGATGTGTATCATGGCCAATGACCAATCATGTCACTTCTTTCAAAGTCTCTCAGGAGTTTGTCCCTGAACATCTGTCATTCGGTTCAGGCACAGACAGCAAAGAGGGGAGTTCTCTTGCTTCCTCATCTGGAAGTGACACAATCACGGGACATTTTACAAAGCGGGTAATCAAAAGACAGTACAGGCCAACAAAAAACAAAGTGCAGCAAAGAAATACAAAGTGATAAATTGGAAGGTGGTTGTGATGAAAAGGATGAAGGCGTCCCAAAGAAAGTAACATTAAAGGGACTCTCAGATATCTCACAACTTTGAATCGGCTTCCAACATTTTATCCAAACTTAAAAAGGAGCATGACAGTGCACCAAAGGAAAGAAAAAATATATCTTATATTACATGATAAAAAGGAAGCAAACATGTTCAAATTATTTCTGGTTAGTTTTACTCAAAGAAATAAAACACTTTAATTCTCAATATTTCTAACATTTTAAATTACAAAGTACTAAATAAATACTAGCTGCATTACTAGCTATATTATTTTCCCTATATAGTTATAACCTACACTGAAAATTTTTTCATGTTTTGGTAAAAATTTTTAAAGGTCACAGAACTCATAATTTTTCCACTGATTATTAAGACGCAAAGTGAGGACTACCTATAATCTGTACTAGAATAACTTCATATAAATTATATAAACCATCTTTTTGCACAAAGAAACATTAACCGATTGACTTTTATTAGATATTTCCAGTATCAACAGCAGACTTTGAAATCTAACATGAACTTAGAAAGGTAGATTATTTAAATCTAACTTTAAACCCCCGAGATAAATTCCATACAATTGCTTCAAGGATGGTACTAGCATCAGTGGATACAGCAGTAATCCCTTAACTCCAATTACCCTGTGTCTTTCTGGTTCTAAAGGAAATGGTTTCTGTTTGCTTTATTTCAACCAATAAAAGTCCACTATTTATAAACCTTTATGAATAAGAAATAAAGTATCTATTCTCCTGTTCCGGCATTTTCTAAAATCTAAATGACAATATAAAGCCCTCTGCCTCAGCTGGAGAAGTACACGTTGAGCTCTTTGTGGCAGGTAATCTTTTTACACCTAAATAGTCTTTTATATCAAAGAAAACAAATTTTAAAATCAACCTACAAACTTCAGGATCTAACTATGAATAGTTTCTTTCTGTTTCAAAAGTTCGTGCCACTCTCAAAATACCATCTAGTGATGTATCGTCTGTGCTGGCAGAGTTCTACAAAACCTCAGAACATAAAGAGGAAAAAAGAATAAGTTATCTTTAAGGTTGATTGAGATGCTTGTGGTACGCTGGTTCTACATCTAGCCATGGCACATATATTTTAGAAAACATAACTAGAAGCTGTAACATAGGATGCTGCGGAGACATTCCATAACCTCATCAGCTTGACATTTTGGCCGTCGCCGTAATTCACCACATTGCATCACATGTCACCTGGGAACTACTGCAAATAACAGGAGGTATGTGGCCTTCAGCCTGTCATTCCAGAAAGTGTAATTTCATGACAACCATT